AAAAGATATTGCAACTCGTGTTTTTTTTCATACATCGCACAGTCAAAATACAAGTCGACAGCGAACTTTCGGAGATTTACGTGCCAAAAAAAGAAGCTCTCTAAATGACAACGAGACAACAGACAGTAAAAAAAACTCTAATTAGAGAACTTTCAATCCCTTCGGTCCAAACTTCCAACTGATCGATTCTACAAACCGAAATAATCCTTTGGCAAAAAAGTAAATTACAAAGCAGGTAGCAAGTAGTAATTGAAATGACAATGTATATCTTCAAATCTAGAAAGTTTCGACAGTTTCATGCACGTTATTGTCGTGGCGAGGTTCTAACCGAGCGAAAACCTTTCGGTTCCTTCTTTTTCATCACTTTTTACTGCAAGCTCTCTGAAAATTATTAACAGCGAATATTTTTCACTGTGCATTACGTGTAGTTGTGAATGAAAAGCACTTTCATTCGATTAATCTATTTTTAGGTTTAACAAGTTAAAAAGAAGAATTTTTCATTGCAACTTCATTTTTCGCTCGAATGAGTAATTGGATCACACAAAAGAGTGTGTAAGTGAAGTAGAAAAATGGTAAATTGGAGAAAAGTTAATTTTTATTTTATGTTTTTTGAGTCTCCAAGCTAGGTAGAAGCGTATTTTTATTTCATAATATTTATCAAGTGATTAAAAAATATTGATTTTAGTGGATTTCATAAATTATGAGAATAAAGGAATAGACATTTTTCTAAAAAATATAACAAATCACAAAAATTCATAGAAAGAAAACGATAAGGATTATCTATCCACTATCTTCTTATCAAAATTAATTTTACTAACATTAAATAATTATTAATAATATTCTTTACACATCAGTTGACGATTAACAATTTCTACTCATGAGAGAACGAAAATGTAATAAACTGTGAAATACAAAAAATAAAACTTTTAATAACGTTGCAACAACATTAAAACAACTATTAATAAGTAATAAAATGAATTAGCAACAAGAAGCAGAGAAGTATAACAATAAATCAGCCAATTGAATTAGCAGTAATTATGCAGCGTTTCCGCGCTCACAGCAATCAAGCAAAATTACGAGGAGGCAATACACAAATTCGCGCGCAATGCACACGCAGCATGTGGACGTATCAATCAGAGTAGTGAATGTGTGGCGCTGACTAGGTGGCTGCAGTAACTTTCGGCGTTTAATTAGTTAATGAAATTGGACAAATTGCCACGGTAAAACATTTAAACAAAACTTTCTGCGAGGGCACATACTAATTTTCACTGACGATTTGTTCAATGCAAAATTTTAATGCTGTTCGTGTGAGTTCTAAATTTACGATGCTACGTGGGTGTTGTTTATCATAGGGCGTAACGGGAGTAATAATAACTTAGCAGTTTACAGTGACGCTGTAACGATAAATTATAATGAAAGATGTGCTGGTTTCACTTTGATGATAAATTGATGTGTGCGGGTAAAGCTTCGAAGAAGATTTCATAAATATTCGATTGAGTTTCCTGCGAGAGAATTTCAATCGTGAGTTTTTCAAGTATTCTACAAACTCGCGCGCGTGCCATTTCAATTTTTTAAACTGCAAACCTCTAAATAACACCCGAATAACGAACGTCGAGAAAAAGAATTTTTCGGTTCTTCCTCTTTGAACACCGAGTTTCAAAAAAACATGTATCCGTCGCAGTGCAGAGAGAGAGAGAGAGAGAGAGAGAGAGAGAGTAAAAGAGAGAATGGGGGAGAGGGAGTAACAACGACTATTTTCGTCTAGAAGCGCTCAGTCTCTCACACCAAGTCTACCTTCTTTTCTTTTTCCTCTCTGTCGGTGTCAAGATCGTGAGATTTTTCGTCGCTTCAAGTGCACACCGAGGGAACAAAAAAAAAAGAAAAAAGAAAAACTTTATACCGGATAGCTAGAGAGGTTAGAGATTGCAGAATAAGCCTTTTTGACTGCGAGGCGAATTTTTGTGTGTGCGAAGTACGAGAAATGTACACGCGAAGTACATTATTTTACAAGGAACAATGTCCCAAGGGTATGTACTTGATATTCCTCGAGTGCAGCTGACACGTTCTTTGCGAATATGTGGTTTTTTCTTTTTTTATTTCGCTTTATTGAAACAATGCTGCACATTTGTTTAAGTGGATACGATTTCACTTTTAAGCTTCTATTTAAGATGATTTATTCGCTTGGATCTATTTATAGATTTTTATTCACGGAGAAAGTCGTAATTACTCTTCCTGAGGGAAATAATGGAACTTTATTACTTCTCATTAGTTAAAGGTCTACTACCCTTCTGAAGAAAAAGAAAGCCCAACACTCTGATTCACAAACCTGATTGCTCGCCAACAAGTACTTTATCACGGCCAATCTCCCAGATACACATACACACACCTACGAGTATAAAAGGTCGAAGTAAATGAATGAGTGAGAGAGAGGGCAAACACTAATGAACCTCGCGGCACTTTCTTCCCTGTCAAACGCTTCTTTCATTCAGTGAGGTACGATTGCTGATCTTTTCTTTCTCGCACCTGAGAAAGATAAAGAACAAGAAAAAAACTCCTTCTTTTACGAGAGAAAGAGAGAGAGAGAGAGAGAGAGAGGGAGAGAGGAAGGATGTACTTGTTTGTCTATCCCCACGTCGGCGAGTTGTTGACCAGCTTTTATCGGGGAATGGATTCGTCATATCGATTTGGCTCTCGCATTTTGTTTGATTTTCTAGACACGTGCAGTGAAAGAGAGTAGCTTGTTGATCCACTAGACGAAATCTCTTCTTTATTTTTTGGTTTTTTGTTGAGTTGCTTTTTCCACTCCGGCTTTTTCTCTTTGCTTTTGGATTTTTTTTTTTCGACAAATTGTCTCGAGGATCGAGTGGTAGCAAATATTAATATTCTTATAAACTGTGGTGATAATATTTCACTCATATATGTTTTTCTCTACCGTCAATAAACTTTTGTACCTATACTGTGATGCGATTCTCAACTTTCTTCCAACCGCTAAAAAAAGGTTCCAAGCAAACTTCATCAATCACCAACAGTTCTACACACAATGACTCAGCCAACCGAGCGCGAAATGCAAATTGCCGAAACACTGAATATTAACGGGCGTCGACCTGGATAAGACTCCGTGCGAGAAGATGTCACGGTAGCTTGTGTGTTTGTGTGCAAAGCAACGGATTTGAACATCGATATATGCATACACGACTGCGAGCGTGTGCAGGTCAAGCTTCACGCTTTCCTATATGTCGCTACGTTTGCTTTTGGAAGCAAATGGGTCCGAGCATACAACAGACGGAAAGCTGATCTCCTCTACGGGTCATTGCTTTCGGTTAGCTCGCGTTATCCGGATTATCATTATACCCTGGGATGCAGTCAGAATAGGAGTATGTTAAAACTGATCAAGTTAAAAATTTGGCGAGAACAAATTTTTTTATCCAATGTCGATTTTTCAACCTCCGCTAAAAAATATGAATGTATGGAAAATCGTTTCTCATAAATATTCAATTTTAAATGTTCAGCATATTCAGCAGTTAAGAAGTAGTAAAAAAATTCAGTAGAAAAATGTTATTTCGGTCAGACACGCCACAATAACCAACCATTGCCATTTCCACAAAAACAATTGTATTCCGATTAAACTTCTGATTAATGACAAAATAGATAATTAACCACCTAAAGGTTGTTTCGATTTGACATCGTCAATTTTTTTACGATGTTGATATGACTAGACGATGAAAATTTGACGAGGAAAGATCGCTTTACTTCGTGACTACTTTTCGATTTTCATTGAAAAAATTGAATATCCGATCATTGATTACGATGCAATACTTTCTGAAGCAATTGCAAAACTTTTTGCGAACAAAACACAGCAGCAGAAGCGTAGATATACACGCGGGTGAGAGAGACTGTCATGCGCGTGGATAAATCGTTTGTCACAGGGCAAATTGCCGGCTTACATAGTCCTGAGTCAGGCCTTCATTGATATTTCCTCATATCTTTTGTGACGATGCGTGAGCTGAATACCAAGAGTTGTATAGATAGAATTTACATTCCATTTCATATTTAATTTGTCTTGGGCAAATCTCGAAAGGAATTCTTTTACTTGTTGTCTAACGGAGTAAAGTTAAAATACGTTCTGCGTCATTGTACAAACTTAAGGCAATGTAGCGGACACATCGGACTGTTCTTGCTTCAACAGCATGCATGAAAATAATCAGGTTCGTTGGTACGTAGAGTTTCCGTGAGAATCGTGTGACGTGAAATCGTGCAAAGTCAAAGAAAAGCACATCGAACGAGTCGCGCCGATGTCGTTAAAATAGCGCAGCGCACGCGTCGATTAGCAACGCAAATTATTTGTTGATGCACCCTCGCGAAGAAAAAGCAAGTACACAGCCTGGATCCTAATGCAGCAGCTTGGTGGCAACGGCAAACATGCCTCCAGCACCTCGACGGGGCTTTTATTGCAAGGCATTTGCAAGTAAATCGCAAGCGCGATGTTTGGTATGGTCGCAGGTGGATAGACAGTCGCGTACGTAGACGCTGCAGAAGATAGCCATACGCGCTAGAAGAGCAGCAGCAAGTCGTAAAGCAATCGGCAAGAGGGTCGCGCGCGAGAGAGCTGGTGAACACGGCTAATATTGTATTGAAATTGAACGGGCGGCGAAGCCTACTTGCATTCAATCGCGTGCAGCCGAACGGCCACGGCCGCTGCAACGCTGGGCGGCTGATTAGGCGGACGTCTCGTGAGCTATCGGCTGCGAAAGTCGGCCGAAAGTCCGAAATCCGCGTTAACTATGCAAACGGCACTCCGCGGTGCGTCCACCGAGGGCAAACTAATCCCGAAGATAACTGTCCGCCAGGTCCATCCATTAGAAACAAGTCCGGCACGTTCCCACCGCTCCCGAGCTAGGTGGCAAGGTGTACCGCGTCCCGCGAGTGCGGGTCAGCTCGCGCAGCAACGCCACCTCGATCGAGCGCACGCTAACCCCGAGCATGGGCTTTGTCTGTTTCAGAGCGAGGGCGAGCGAGAGCCGACCATGTGACGCACCGCCAGCGGGAACAATGCACGAGGGGAGAAGGGCGTCGTTCTGAGTGCACGCAGGCGATGAGCGTGGGTGGCGTGGAGGGCGGCGGTGGCGAGCTGCAAGAATGCGGCGCGGGCAGCGAATACGGAAGTGGCAGCGAAGAGACGGCGGCATTACTGAGCCGGCCGAGCGTGACGCCGCTGGTGGTGGCGCCGCAGGCGGTGGTCGTGCTCGGCCAGGCCTCGTCCTCGTCGTCGGGCAGCCTCGCCACCGCGCCGCCCGCGGGCGCGCCAGCCACGGCGACGGCGGCGAGCGGCGCCGCGGCTAGCGGCTCCACCTCCAGCGGCAAGCCCGTGCTGCAGCGCCAGGACCGAGCCACCTACCTCGTCGCGTCGCCGCAGCTCTCGGTCTCGGGCCTGGGTGGCTCCGAGGAAAGCGGCACCGGCGTCGACGACCCCGCCACCAGGTCCGTGCCCGACATCGAGTTGCAGTGTCGGCTAGACGAGCAGCAGCAGCAGCAGCAGCAGCAGCAGCAACAGCAGCAGCAGTCCGCCATGCACGCCACCATGCACTTGGTCTGTCAGTCGGCCTATCACCGGCCTCGACAGAGCCACGCGCATTACCGGTGCCGTTGCGACCGGAGGGACTCGCTCGCGCCCTCGTCCGTCTTGCATCTGGCGAGGAGTGTCTCCAGGTGAGATCTCGCCGTTCTTCTCGCCGAACGTGCCTTGTCGCGTTCGCCTTTGCCAGACCGCTCGATCAACCGCTCGCCCGAGCCTACATTGACCATTCGCGATTAATCACGCTACAACTCGCGCAGCACTTTATCTCGCTTGATGCTAATGGATGTCGATTAATCGTTATTGCAATTCTTCACGACATTAAGCCACTATCGTTCTTCCAAGTCCATTCCATGTTCCTGATTCAACAAACAGTCCCCTTCTAATAAGTGCCATCGGTCAACGTACCGAGTATGACTACCCGACCAAATTGATGAATTTTTCGAAGGTTAATCCGAGCTAGAGGCCTAATCAATCCCCCTAAACAGTTTCTGCTATAGCCCGTATATTGAATATTCATGCGTGTGAAGCAGCGAGCGCTCCGGATAAAAATGTACTTCAAACGAACAATAAGTGAATTATGACGCAACAAAGCGGCTATAATGAAAAGAGAGGAAAGTAAATTTAGCACCTTTTCGTTTGCATAATGAACCGCGCGCGCCACTGCGATAAATCAGAAAGGGCACGATTTGTGATTGCGAGACCGTGCTTTTACGTACGTCCAGTTTATCAAGTTTCCGGATCGGTAATTAATACACCTCGAGAAATAGCGGCGATCGTCAATTATATATACAACGCGTACCACGAAACGTGCTTGACCATGAGGTCATTGCACGCCGATTGCAACAACCTGTCGTGATACGCCATTGTAAAATCACGTAATAACCGAGTAAATTATGAACGTCAGTGAATTTTTGTGTCGCGATTATGCAAACTGAAGTTAGATCGCTATCTAAAGAGAATGTTAGAGAAGGTGAAATTTACTGAAATTAGAGGACATAAAAAATACCACGACAAAGCACCTAGAAATCGAGGAAAATATCTCGAAGCCAATTCGAAAGAAAACAACATCCGCGCGCTTTCACGTATCAAAAGGGAGAATCCCATTTCCCGCGGAAAAACGTTCGAGCCTATCGGCTTTACTCTCGCGTGTTCGCATCGATTTGCACGTGAGCCGAGCGCCGCTCGTCCCGAATGCTAATGGCGTCCTGCTGTCTATTTTTTTTAAAGCCGCGCGAGAGGTGTAATTGATGATGGTCTAACGAAAGCGAAAAAAAACCTTTTTCGCTTTCCGAGGGGAAAAAAGCTGCGTGATCGATGACCCGTTGGTGATTGGAACGTTTTGACTCGTAGAACGCGATGTGAATATGAAATCGACGTCGGATGGCGAGAAACGTTGTTTACGCTGTTTTGACGATGTGGAGTTTGTGTTCTCTCCGGCACTTAGATAGTTTGTATACATCGAATATCGACCGAATTGCTCGTGTATCGGAATTTGATTTGTTGGATTTATCATTGATATAGATAAACATTTCTCTCGAGTATAAGCGTAAGAAATGAGCAAAATGCACGTCGCTAAAGTGCCGAATAATTAAATCGGAGCGAGCCAGCGGGGCGACGAAATCGTGATTTATCGCCTTCTCGATGAGAGAGCGTGAGCAGAACTACTGAAACGACGTTATTGCCATTCGCAAAATTTGAAAGAAAAAAATCAGACTTAAGCCGAAAGAAATCGATAGACGTGGCGTGGCTAATCGCGCGAGCTTTGTCTCTTTCTCTGCACGCGGCGCGGTTGAACGAGGCCGAGCGGCGGCGCGCGATGCCCACGTTCGCCCGTGTCGAGTCCCTTTGAGTAATGACCCGTTCAGGGCCTTTCGCACAGCCGTCGAGCGCGCGTCATATTGCTCGCCTGCTTTTCTATGCGTCTACGCCTGGCTTTTGCCGTCGCCACTTTTCCCTTCCCATTTTCCCTCTTCCGGTCTCTTCTACCGAGCGACGCACAATTTCACGGATTATCAGATCCTTAATTGACGAGCGCTCGATGCGAAGCATTTCATGCCTGACCATACGCCGATCTCGCACCACTTACTTGCACGTACCGTGCGTGAAACGCAGTCGCGAACCTCTCTGCGTAGAGCTTTCCGGAGCTCCATCAATCCTTTCTTTCTTCGACAACGTTACTCTCTACTCCAAAGCATACGTCAACATTAGTTCTCGAATGACGCGCAATATTTGCCCTAATGCAGCGTCGCTGAATCTTTTGAAAGCACACTGGGCCAATACGTTCGCTAAGCCACCAACGGGCAACGTTCTTTCGTCAGTTGACGTAGTCTCGTGAAAGTACACTTGCGAGGGCGTTAATCCCTGTGCACCATTACCAGTGGCAGCTCTTCTGCACGATCAGATCTCCCTCTCGCTAACGTCAACTTTGTCTCCTCCCGTTCCCACGTTAAATTTTACCTGCCTATTGCTTTTACGTGTCAACTGGCTTTCTCTCGTGTTTCTTCTCGAGTTCACCGTGTGGCTTTGTATTATTGTCGAATTTTCGGCCGAACTTTGGGTGTCAAGAGAAACTTGTTTGCAAAGAGCTTGTTTGAAAAATCGCTTCTCAGAAATCTTCGCGCAAAGTGTCTTTTGCCCGAAACAAAAGTGTCAATTTGCGGTAAATCATTTGATTCCAACTAAATATAATAATACAATAGTTGTCCGAAAATTTCAATTAATCTTGTTCGAATGAGAGAACCGAATCAACAATGTCGCTTACAGAATTCATGGAAATTCACAGAAGCGCAAATATGTAGCCGACGAAGCGTATCGTCGCGGACGATCAATCTCCAACGTGCAAAATCATGTCAATATAGACGTAGCATTAGCACCAGTCATGGAGATTTCAAACTCGTCTATTTTCGTTTTTTCTTTTTTCGCCGTAGGCTCAATGTTGGAAAGCCTCTCGAGTGTTGACGCTCTGACGCGATCCTCGAGTGGTTGCTAATGAGCTTCGTTTGTGAGTGTACTGCCGCTATGCCACCGCTATGTTGAAGAGCTGAAAAAACTATTAAAGAAGCTTGCTCGATCGATTTCATTTCGTTAAAATTAGATTGCCGCGGTTTTCTCGTTCTTCGAAGGTACACGTATATGGTCGAATCGATAATTGTGCGGGTGTAAGATTCGTTTTAGCGTGGTGGTAATTCAAATGTAATTTTACTCGACGATCGATAACCTACCACGAACCTCATTCGGCTTCTTATATTATTTGCAAATGCAAAAATAATGATTCGGTCTTTTCACGTTATCTCCACACAATGAATACACTGTCTTTTCAAAGGCTGCTGTTAACGATCATTATCAAGGCTCCAGATATTTTATGAAAAGAAATAAACAATAGACACTCGAATCGAAGTCGACATGAAAAAAGCAGGGAACGCGCCTTATCATTGCCGCATCGCAACTGGCTATCAAATAAATTAATTTTCAGCGCAGCGGTGTACAAACAGAAATATTTTTTCTGCCTGGCGCACGGATGTATTTATGAACGACTGACCCAATAAACGATTGTCCCACGTAAATGGCCTGTTACTACTGATATCTATCTCTACGGAATGCTATTTTTTATTTTAATAATTGCGTAAAAAGGTTTTGCAATGGTCATAAAAATGCATTAGCAGTCACAAATTACACGTTCAGGCAAATAGGTGAGCTTATCGTTATTGATTGTTTTGTCGCGACTTTCATGACTAAATAATCGAAGTTACAATTTTTACAAATCCTCTATTGCTGTATAATTACGAACTATTCGCAAAGCACCTCGCGAATTGTTCTATCGTATCGTATCGTATCGGGAGAAACAGGAGAGCGAGCACAAATAATCAAAGGCCTATTCAGTAGAAGTAGCATCAATCGCAAGGCTATAAGATCCATAGGTAGCAGTAGTTGTCTGATTGCGTCTCGCGTGGAAAAGCAGGTCAAGACGCGCGAGAACACTTGTTATCACGATTGCCTCAGCTCATAACAATCCCTAGCCCTCAGCGGATACGGGCTACTGTTTCCACAGCCGCTGGAATTCTCTGCTTTGTCTGTGGAATAAACTTTCGGTTTAAGCTGGCGAGAATTTTGCCTTGCTTTGCCGCTGCCAACTGTAATAAACGCCTTCGATTTTTTGCGCGTACACCAGAGAAAGTTTTTAGTTATTACTCTGCTATTGGAAAAGTGAAGCTTTACAGTCTTTCGAAGAAACCAATCAGGTGCACCTCGCGTGCGTATTTTTTTATTTTCATTCAATTTTGAACCTTTCCCGAGTATCATGCATTACCCTTCGAAATAACTTAAGGGGTGGTAGATCGATCGAATCTTTTAAAAACATCCAAAATCGAGTGAAAGTAATCAATAACATTGAACAATAACACAAATATCTGAAAAGAGCACGTCTCGAACTGCATAGCTAAATCTTAATTTATAATCCTCCAGTGAAAAAGAAAACGAAAAATTGACGTGAGAAATAGTCGTAGAGCGCACACCTCATACATCGTACTTCGCAAGCTTGCTAAGGAAAAATTTACACACCCCTCGAGATTATAAAGCAGGCCAGAGTAGTAGTAGAACGCGCGATGAAAGCATTTCATTTTTCTTTCTTGTCTCTTGGGAACAACACATGAATTAAGTTGAAACGCTGGCGGGTGCGGTATGGCAAGTATCTATTTTTCAATTCCACTTCATTCCTATGCACACGCATTTTTTTGTATACAACGTCGTATCTTTGCTGCATCCGAATTTCCATGTTTTTGTTTCCTTTTTCCTTTGTTCTCAAAATAAGCTTTGGCTAAATGAAAATGAAAAACCGGCTGGAACGATATTCGCAACGAGAGAATACTTCGGAAAGGCAAAACGATGTACTTCCGAAGTACTCTCTCGCGAAGCCCGTTCCCCAGCGAACACTTGCAGCACTCCCCGTTGAAAAAAAGCATCTGTTCGACGTGTTCCAGAGAGAGCGTACGAAGTGGCGGTCACCACTGTTGTCCATGCCAGGCAGCCGCGTCGTCGTTATCAGCCAACGTGGTAAGCGGTGGTTACGGATGGAGCGGCGGCGGTTCTGGAAGCAATTTGCCACCCGCGGTCTTGGTCACATCCTCGCCGACGGCGCGCATGATACGCCAAAGTTCGCAACCGGAAGCAGCAGCAGTGACGATCGGCGGTGGTGTTGGCGGTAGCTGTTGTTGCACGAGCTGCAGCTGCCACCTGCACGCGGGCGGCGTAGGCACGATAACGCCCTCGGCCGCCTCGTTGCGGCAGCTGCGCGAACCAGGCGACGGTATTGCCGGTATTGCCGCCGACTCCCTCAGGATCAATGGTGGCATTCGTCAATTCCGGCAGGTAAGGATGTTACTCTGCCTTAACCGTCTTTTTGTTGCCTTTCGCTCCTTCTCTCACCTGCGCGACTTTTTTACCTCGAGAGACGACAGTGTCGTCGTCGCGAAACTTGCTCCAAATTACACATACGTAATTTCATATATACATGTATGTGTGCGGGTGTGTGTATAGACTACGCAAAGGAAGCACGTGCTTTACACATTCGCGCTTTGCGAATCACTGTGTAACGAGAAGGGACTAATTTTGCGGGTCAAGACTAACGGCTGTTTTACGTCGACGCGTAAAAACACGAGTTTTTATGTAGTCCGAAGAAAAGTTGCTTGGGATTTACAATTGATCATTATTTTTTATAAATCTGTAATTTTTTTTTCATACAACTCTTGATTGACGTTCATTGGTATGAAAAATTGGTATTTCTTAATTGGTATAATATATACTTGAATAACAACGAAAATTGACGGTCCACATTTTTTGTACAAATTTAACTTTCAAGAGAGCCTCCCAAAGAAAGCAGCTTTGATGAAGACACGCGTACTGGATAAAAAATTCTTATGCATTAGCTTTTTTGATAACAGGAACACATCTAGACATTTTACGCGTCGACGATAAAACCAAAAAACACAACGCATAAAACAACGAAGGGTAACACTATCGTATATCATTTTTTGAACATTCCTCTCTCCTCTCCATCACCATGAATATAAGAAAAAGGAATGAGTCGTGCGTGTGTCATGAAAAATGCGCTTGCGTTGTTATTTGCGTGTGAATGTGTGTGTTATTGGCGCGTGCGCAAAGCAAAGGCATGATAACGAGTCTCTCTCCCACTCAATATACATGTGGCGTTTTGTGTGCCTCTTGTGACAGACACTCAAACACACATAGAAGGGAGAACAAAAGCGTAGCTTTAAGCCAGCGAGGAGACGAGCTTTTTTTCACTCTCTTTATACGCGCGCGCGCGCGCGTGTGTGTTGGTGTTCTGGCCCGTAGATTCGCGCGCGAGCTTTTGTGTTATTACGCTGATGAGCTCTCTCGTCCTTTTTTTCTACCTCCCCTTAACGTTGCCGCACATTGCTGCGTAATAATGCGCTGTTTTGTCTAGTTTTTGGGTGTTATATAGTACTGCTCGTTCGCGTTAATTATCGACGTGAGAATGACAATAGCCCGAGAGCTTCCCAAACGAGACTTTGGCAGTTGTGAGGCAATCTTATTTCTTTTCAATGTAAAGTTCTTTTTAATTTCATCATATGATAATGTTAATTAGAATACGAAAAATTATCAAACATAATTATCATACGTTCATAATTGGCTTTCGTTTTTCCAAAACCACGAAGCAAAATTTTACAATATTTATGATTACGCAACGATTCCAACGCATAAATTGTGCGAATGAATTAGCGTAAGCTCAACCGACATAGCAAGTGCTAGCAGTCGTAACCATAACCACGGCTAAAAAAATATTCAGAAAGGTGGAGCTCGTAGAAATATTCGAAACTACCACCAGCGTGTACAAAACGATCCATTACAGAACATCGGTACATGAGCTCGACTCTCCCCTAAAGAAAAAAAGCACAACACGCTTATAATGCGTGCGCGATATTTCAATAAAGCGCACGCGTTCTGATGTTATGACCGCGTCTACCTGACTCTCACAGAGTACCTTTTTCTACAATTACCTCATACGATTACTGCTCTGTCTTATTTTTTAGAGAAATTACTATTACGATTGATCTTCGATTCGCGTATTTAACTTCAATTACCATGATAAATTAATTATTGTCTTTTTCGACGTCTGGCATCAGTCTTCACGCGTGCGAGTCGATAAAATCGTTTTTCCGGCGGCGGCGCCGACGGCAAAAATGAACTTGCGCTGCATCGGGGCGACGGTCGACTTGAAGGTTTCTCGAAAATACCGTTTTCAGGCGTTAAGTGCATAAACTGCAAAAGTGCAGCCGTGACGCGTGAATAATTGGCAGTGAAAGTTAGTCGAGCAGATTTTTTCCCGCAGGTATATGCATAAAAGTTTGCTTTGCGCACAGCTACAAAAAGAAAGAAAGAAAAGTGAATGAAAGAGAGAGGGAAGAATTTTTATCCGTAACATTTTTCTCTGTGTGTATACAGTTATTATTATTATTACTATTAATATTATGTGTATCTTTACTCATACATCAATGTGCGATATGTGCATATATAATGTTTGATGTATCACTTATACTACTACTTCTTTGAGATTCTTGTATTCTATTTGTTGATGTAGCCTTATGGAAAATGTAGTCCTAAATATCTATCGTATTACTAGAGGTCTACTGTTGTAAGGACACACTAAACATTTTTTTATTATTTTTTGCAGTACATGATACGTATAGATAAATAATTTTTTAAGTCATCTAGATCTATATAATTCATGTAATAATATTTTTCTAAGTCATTATTATATACTACTATCTGTCTCATACACTATTGAGTGTTTTATCTTGTGAATTATGTAGTTGTAGATTATCTTTGTATCTCTAAAATCATATAATAGATTCTTTTGTTTGCTGCTTAATTAAAACAAAAAGTTATAAAATCTCCTAAAGATATCGAGGCACATTAAACGCCAGAAGAATTGAGTTTACCCAATTGCCAAAGAGAGAGGGTAGCGTGGACAAAAGCGCCACACTAGGATGGTAATGAAAAGTCTCTTTCTCAATTGTGCGGCGCCCGTAAAGCGCACACTATACGCCCCTGCAGTTTATTGCTTCTATACGTGTATGAGAGAGAAAACGAGCGTATTATATGATTGTGTCTGTGAGAATAGAAGTCCCACGGGAATATAGAGGCAGGAATTTTTTTTCTTTTTGTTGCTTTTGGAAGCATCTACCGCGGTGGAACAAGAACAGTCACCGCTACCTCTTATCTTTTACAACTCGGGATCTCGAGAGTAACTCCGTCAAACACTGAAAAGGAGTTACTCTTTTCTTACAATGTGTGCCTATGTTTTACGAGGTCTCAGTGTACATAGTACTCTGTTCTTTGTTTTTTTTTGTTTCGTTTACTCGTCGCAGAGCTAACTACCCACCACACCCTGTATGTGCGTGCGAGAGAGTTTTCATTGTACAGCGGAAAAAGTTTCCACTTTGGTTTCTACCCCATCGAATCGATCAACAATACACATTTACATTCTTCAATTCCACCAAACTTTCCCTAAGCACAGTCAAAAGAAAAACGCACACCATGAAAAAGCATTCAGAATTGAACTAATAAAAGACCCCCTCGACAAAACCCAACAACCAACCAAACCGGAAGCAGTTTCCATGGTGGTGCAAGTCGTCGTTCACCACAGCAACGACGACACCACCACAACACAGAGAACAGCAACAGCAGCTACAGCAACAGCAGCTACAGCAGCAGCAGCAGCAGCAGCAGCAGGCTGGTGGATCGGCTTCGGGCGGCAGTTCAGGCTCTGGTGGTGGCCAAGGTGTTCTACTATGTCCACGTACTTTGGCACAGGCGAGGCGCTCGAGGCTTCGACGTGCACTCACCGAAGCTACTGCCGAGACTGTCAACTACGTTAAATCGGTGGGGATTTACTCTCGCTGCGATCTCGATTTCTTTTTTCATTTCTTTATTTCTTTTATCGTTTTTGTCCTTCAACGTATTTAACGAGTTTTCGGGGTGATTGATGCGGTCATGCGGTCTGGGTTTGGTTTTATGAAACGAACGAGCATTGATTGCACGTTTCAACGATGACAAGTGAAAAATTAGCAATTGAAGAATACCGATAAGTGATACTTCAGGAAGAGGCGGTAGACGAAAAAAAAGTAATTCACATTGTTAAATGTTCCGACAACGACAACGAGATATTCCATTGAAAAGTTTCGCTCGCGGCTATCGCGCTCGCGCACCATTTGATTCGAAGGTCGAACAATATATAGATTTGCGTGTGAAATCATCCATACTTAATTAATTCGAGATAGTAAAAGACAGATGGCAGATTTCTCTTCCGGCGTAATCTCGGCTGCGCGAATACAATGGAGTGTGAAAAAGGGCCAGAGTGAAAGAGTGGAATTGAAGAAATGTCGATCGTTCGCGGCAGTTGAATTGTCGGCACTAAAATCGAGTTACGGGCGCGGGCTGTGCGATTAAATGATTTAGCATCGATTATACGCATCAAAGAAAGAGAGTTTCCGACTCGTTACCGCATCATTCACCACTAACTCGGACAAATCCACACGTACACGCCCTCTTCGCTCGCTTATGTATATATATTTATATATCCACAGAGTTGAGTAGCCACCAGCAACATCGTAAAAGTCACCGAGAACGAAAACCTGCAATTTCTTGTTGCGCACTCTCTTCCTTTTTTTCCGAGTATCCCACCTGTTGTGCTTCCAACGAGGATACACTCGCACACGTTCGCACACTTTACGCACACTCACGCATAGGTACATAAATACCGCCAAAAATATCCTTGTTGACTTGGGAATTTTTAGCATAGATGTGCACGCGAAAGGCGAGGGAGTTTTGAAAAATACAAAAACGATGCTATCCACCCTGGCACCTATATTTTTTTATGTTTCACACGCATCCGTTTTTCTCCGCGGGCTTTTGTTGTGTTATACCTTTCAGCAAAAGCGACGCACGTTGTGCTGTGCAAAAATAAATACTATTATAAATAATACTAGTTTATAAACGAAAAATTATGTTGAAAAACCAAATACTTATGAAAATGCTTTTGTTGCAAAAAGCGTGCCGTCGATATACAGGCAAATGTAAGTACCAAACAAAACTAAATCTATTCTCATTCCACGAAGTTTCTTTTCTTTTGTTCACACGCCAAATTATCACGCCTATGCCCACCATATAAAAAGTATTTTGGTGCACTCTGTACAGTTTGCGCGGGAAATCCATCCAAAAGCAGGACGAACTCATCTCTCCCCCAGTAAGCTTCAGATATTGGTACAAAATCATCGATACGTGGGTTCACATGGTAATCCCCTTTTGCATATAATTAACGGATACCTACGCACTCGTGGAAACACAAAACGCTGCAAGCATTTCAATCGCGAACGAGCGAGCTAGCAGTTGCACACAGTTCGACACTACGACTGCGAACAAACGAATGTTCTCCGTGCTCGTTCGCTCGCAGATATGCTCTCGCAGCAGCATAGCCTAGTTATGGTCTTTTATCGTTCGCGCTCCCTGCGCAATCGATTTCTCGCTTGCCGAATGAATTTGGCGCCCCCTTCAACTTTATCTTTCCGTTGCGTTTGGCAATTATATGAGCCGATGAAGATTCGTACGTGAAAACGACGAACACCTCGAGGAAGAGGGAGAAACGTTGCCAAACGTGACGCGCATACGCGCACCCGAGCAAGAGTGCGCGCCATCACCGAGGACATAATTGAGGATCGATCGTGCGCGGGCACGAGCATCTCAGCCATCGCAATTTGAGCTGAGCAGCGACAATTCGGCGTATCGCCCGCAGGGCAGTGGCAACGAAACCCCTCCGCTACCGGCACGGGATAGATCCGCGTCCCGGAATTACACGCGAAGACCAAGGAGTTAAACTATGTACGTATATAGTTTGCCCTTTCTTCCTGTGTAGTTTTGTGGTCTACGTATGCCGTGTATGCGCATTCTTCCTCTTCTTTTTCGGAAAACAACTTCGAGGTTTTCTGTGCTGCGGTTTTCGGGTTATGAATTCCGCGAACGGCAGGGTAGTTTGTGTTTGCACGATCAAGTTTCAGCTGGAATTGCGAAACAGTCGTGTGTGTGATGACGTTGCGGATGCACGACTGTTTCGTCTCTTTATTGCTACGGAGTGTTGCCCATTATTGTCGAAGAAAAGGAAGGAAATAGCAGTTCCACAGTGAACAAATCAGTAACTCGGTAAACCAATAAATAATCTTTTCTATATCCGGTAGTCACTCGCAACGAAGTGGAGAGAAAAATGGATGAAATGTATCTCCTCTCGCACGTAGGGCGAGAGCGAGCAGCGTCGTGTTCCGCTCGGCAGAAATTCAAGAGAGGAAACAAAATAATAAGTTACGTAGCAAGAAATTTAAAGCAGCAAATATCAGAGGGCATTCAATTATTTTTACAAACAAGAATCGCAGGCTTTGAAACCTAAAATGGACTCGTTCAACTGAAAAATTGATAGTGATGAAGTTCGAACGTAAACAGTCGAACGAATCTGATAGCGTGGAGCTTTAGCGGCCTAGCGCTCAGCGGCAAGTCTCTGTCGCGGTGACAGCGATAACGGTGCGCCATTACCGTATCGAGGGTCGTGTTACGGTCAGTTGTGCCTAAAACTCGCATAATTTTGCGAGCGAGCATCGGCGTATTTATCCGATTAGGCAGCGCATACCTGACAACTCAGCCCTGCTCTTCGCCCTTGCTTCGACACTTTTGTCGTTGAAATGGCCTTGACAGGCATATCGCTCGAAGAACAACCGAGACACTCGAGTAGATCAAAGTTCCGCGCACGCGCTCGACCGATCGATAGATTGACTTTGCTTGTTATATTATCGGCTGACTTGATATTGACTAGCATCACTTGTTTGTCTTTGAACTCGGCGCGCGGCTACCGCGACGGCGGCTGCTACGTTACGAGCAACCATTTTAGAATTGACGCTGATTTGGATAATGTTTCTGACCTCCGCTGATTGGAAATTAATTCCGAGAAGAAATTAATCGTATATGCACGCGATTATGCGGCAAATATACAGTGCTATCAATCACGGGCACCTTGCATTTTGCGGCTCGCATTATCATTGCCGTAATTCACAATTAACCTATGTATAATTTTCCGCGATGGCGAAAGAACAAATATTTTTCGGTAATATATCGGCCCTTCATCGCCGCGTTGAATTCCATTAACTCGATCGCAGATGCCGCAGGCACGCGCGCGCATGCGTGCACCTGCACGCTCACGATATCAGGCGATCGTTAATTAAATAAAACGCCCGAATAAAAAGGATTGTATATCATTTTCAACGATGCATTTGTAGGCGAACACGCGTGTGACTTTGAATTTATCGCTCTTGGCGATCTGTACTTTTATCCCCTCCGAAAGCTCGCTGCCGAGCTATCCTCTGCGTTCTTCTTTTATAGGGAAATCGGTTTCCGCTGCGATGTATAACGCGATTTTTATTATTCGCGCACGCGCGATTGTTAATTTCCTTGCGGTAGCATGGGTGTACACGTATGTCTTACGTACAGCGCAATGAAGCTTGACTACAATGTCATTAGTTCTCTGTACTGTCATGTGCCCATACGAGAGAGAGAGAGAGAGAGAGAGAGAGAGAGAGCGTCTCACCGAAGCTGGGCATAATATAAAGCACATTCGAAATTAAAAGTAAACTTGCGCGCCTAGCATACGAGAAGCCTTGTTTGTACCTAACAATGAGAAAGTAAAGCATCTGTTTTCGAGGAAATCTGGCGAGAACTTGGAATTTCCGATGTACCTGGCTTTCCGTTTTTCTCTAGTTAGCAAGGTTAACTTTCATATTCGACGATCGATCCAACCATTGCGTATTGAATCCACAGTCGACGAGCTTATAACAACACTACAAATGCAAAGTTTTCCAATCAATCAGAAAAGGCGTACTTGAGAGTCTACTTCCCCCAATCATCATGCAAATTCCCAAAAGGTTAAAATCCAGTTCTCGCTCGGCTGAATTAACACTCCGCGTCGCGGTGTAAATCCCCCAAAACCGAACTGCTGCGCAAACAACGACAAAACCACCAGGCGGGGGCCGAGCATATCGCGGCATCACAGCGTAATCCCGAGACAAGAATCGTACTAGGCCGCTTATATGACTCGCCACATTCCAGCAGCAGCCGTCAAGTCTCTAAGTCGCGCATTAATACTGCGAAAGCGCGCGTACGCGCGTTGCCGTAAATCGTCGAGCCCTCTAACTCTTTGACCTGGCGCGCTTGTCCGGAGTATCGCGCGCAGAGCGTTCGCTTGCTCGATCACGTTTTCGCGTGGTTACGTTGCTCGGGAGCGCCGTGCTTTCGTTTTTCGCGAAATTTCCGAGTTTCCGTATTACGACGCTCGAACTTGAAGTACGCCGTTCTATCATCGCCGAACGTAAATTTCGCTGCGAGATAGCTGGCTCACCTGCCGCAATAAGCGGTAAATACGCAGCTGCATTATTTATAGCTTCGGATGAAAACGAGACCGAGCGACGGAAGGAAAAATCTATGAATTCTCAGAAAGCTGGCGCGCTATCAGCAACAACGCGCGACGACGACTTGGATACGTCCGGTTCTGCCGGTAATCCAGAGCCAGAGATATCTCTGTGTTATTACGTCGCGTAAACTCGGCGTCTGACAATAAAGGGCTTCCTTAATGCCGCAACCGCAAGCCGAGAAATTTTAGGCATATTGCGAACGTGCCGTAGCGTGCAGGTTTGCCGTGCCACTGGCTTTTTCGACGATCCTCAGCCAGGACCTAACGACGCTTGTTCTCCTAGCTGGCATTGACGTGATTCGCGCTCTGGCAATACGATCGAACGAGACTTTACTTGTGTGCACTCAAGAATTTACACAGTCGACCAAATGCAACGCGCGACGAACGACTCGCAATATTCCCCGTGATCTCAATCGAACGCGTCGATTGCAGCTCAAGGCTTCTAATATCTGCCTTGTAATATCAACAAATTGCTTGCCTGCAGCGATAAAAATCTGATATGCAACGATATTATGGAAATGACATCCTTTGTATGGTTCCATTTCTCATTTCGACCTCCTCGCGAAAATCATGCAGAAGCATACTCGCCTGCTGAATCATTAATGCGTAAAGATGAGTTGCTCGGAGTACACGATGAATATGAAAGGATCTTTCAGTTCGCGCGCACGCGCATCATTTCTCGCACAATGCACTTTTACAATAATTTCGCGCTGCTCATTCTGCAGCGATTGCCTCATTTAGATTGCGCTCAAGCAAAGCTTCAAATATGCCGGCTCTCGAATTTCATTTCGCACATTCGCAACACTTGGCGACACACTGCTAAGGCTAATTGCGACGACTCAGAGAAGGCTGTCTAATAAATATGCATAGAGAGAGATAGAGAGAGAGAGAGAGAGAGAGAGAGAGAGAGAGGCAATATGAAAATGAAAACGGAAGTAGAGCGTATGTTATGCGCACAATGGACTCATGCACGTACTTGCTGCATCCTCGAGGCCAAAAAAAGGAGAGACAAACGTGACGAGGAGGATATAAAGAGGACTTTGCCAAGCTTCTTATTCTTGTATCCCGCTATCGCTCTTCGACTGGCCTGATTATCTCTCCCTCTTCGCTCTGGAGTTTCGGTTTTTTTCTTCTCTTGGTGGGACTTTGATTTGTATCGCGCGACTCCTCTGAGAGGAAGTTTTCGGTGATTTCGGTCGACTGATATCGTAATGTTTATTTTAACTTTTCATCGCGGTGGAATCGTACAAATCTTTGATTTATCCATAGGCTTTCCATTCAGAAAAGCGGTTTGTACAACTTTTTGTTCGAACAATAAATTACGAATGCCATCGATTTTCAAATTTTACACGCGAATGTTGTACGTGAAAATACAATTTTACCCATCAAACGAAACGTGAACGCTCGATCTAGAAAGGTATTTTTCTCCGCGCAAGCGAAAAGGAGACATACCAAAGTGCACGAGAGAAAGAAAGAGGGGGGGGGGGAGAAACGCAGTGCGATTTTTATTACCGCTGCACGCGAAAAGATATCAAGTTTGCTAGGTCATCATCTTCCGCGAGTATCCTTTTT